CAGGAACATATCTATTGAAAACTCTATGTTTAATTCTCTTGTTAGCTAGTCTATGATTCCCGGCGAATTCCCTAACGCCCAACACCTTCTTGTATTGATTTGATCTTATTGTTTACTAGTTTTTAAGTTTATTATTTTCTATTTTGGTCACTGTTCACAACCCCAAAACAAACACCCATATTTTCATCTTAGCTCAGTTCTCATCTCAAGTAAACTCGTATTGCAGTTACTTGGTCTTCAGTGGATCGACCCCTAAGTAGTACAACGTACATCTGTGCGCTTACAGAAAACTAGGGTTAAAACCTGAGCACATCAGTAACCGGGTTAATGGCCAGGATTAAGCAAATGTCATCAGAGAAGAATAGCTCGTTGAGGGTATCTATGGTCCATCCATTAGCAGAGGAGTTAAGCAAATCACAAACCTTCAAATCAAGATCCACCAGAATATTTTTCATAAGATCCACCAGTATCACTCTTTCACACACTCAGTCTTGTAAGTATTCCTTCTTCTTCTTCTTATGATTTCTGTTTTTGTGTGTTTGTGTTAGCATGAATTGAGAATAATTGATGGTGTTTCTTTGCTGAGTCTATTTGATAGTTCTCTATCCGAAAGTTTCATCCTTTGATCGGTTTGCAATTATACAATTTTAGCTATTTGTGTTATCCAACTTTTTTAGTTAATCTGAACTGACTCAGCAAAGGAATTGCTCTGGTCATCTGATGCTGCTAGGGTTGACTTCGCGGCTTCATGTTTTAAATTTATAACCCTAGATATCTGCAAGTGCACAGCAGTGCGTTGTAGTACTTAGGGTGTCGATCCACAGAGAATCCACGCTTTACCTGCAGAACCTTAGAACCAGAATTAGTAAACGAAGTCTAAGACGAAATACGTGTTTTGGATAGGTTGTGCGATTTCTATATATGTATTTTAAAAAGGGATTTGAAAACTAGAAGTGAATAAATCGATAATAAATTTAAAGGATGAACAAAGCTCTTAATATTGATCCTAGTAAATTCTTAGAACTCGAGTCACGGACGTATGACTACGCCACTGTCGTGATCATAACCAACTATCTCTCGCAACCCTGACCAGTAGGTTTCCACTCTGGCCCTGGAAGGGAAAAGATGCATTATGTTTAAGACTCGTCAACATTCACAGCTCGCCCATAGGTAGGTTTCCACTCATATGGTTGATCTGCTCTTCTCAAACTAGATCCAGCCCCGGATGAATACTTTCGCAACACCAAGGACCTAGATCAGTCTCTAGTTCGCGACGCTAGATCCATGCTTTAAGTATAAGTTTAGAAGAAAGATTTCTAGAATTCGGCTTTGGTTTATCTCGCGAAGATCCTTATCGAACATAGTCGATTCCCTTCGATCGAGCCTTTAAACTCATACCTCATCATTCCAAAACGTGCATAAAGTAAATAGAAAAGACGTGCATAGATTAATAAGAAGAAAGAAGTAGAGAAAAACAGACTAGGAGATGAAGAAGAAGCATCTCGATTTCGAAATCTAAGCTCGGAGAAAACTTCTCTTCAAATCCTTTAAACAACTAATCTAATATAAAGAAGATGAAAACGAAATTGAAAGATGCATATAAGTAAAAACCAAATTAAAATAAAGGTAGAACATAAAGAGAGTTCAAGAGAAATCTCTATCTCCCTAAACTAAAAACTAAGAACATAAGAACATAAAAACCCTAGAAAACTAAATTTGGTGGCTCCCAAAAGGAATTCTTCTGAGGCACACGAAAATAGGTCTCCTTAGACACATATTTATAGGTCTTGAACTCTCTCCAGTCGTCCTTAGGGTTTCCAATAAAGAAAAGACGAATTGGGCTTGAAACAGGGTCATGGGCCAGCCTTTTAGTCGGCACCGATCGCGAGGCTTCTGACCGCGGTGAATTGGGGTTTGGCCGTGGCCAGAGACTCGTAACCGCAGTCGAGAGTGTGTTCTCCACGGTCGTGGCTCCTGGACCCGCGGGGATTGGTCTTTGAGGTTGAATCTTCATTCTGTGCTTGCTTCCTTCGCAAGACTGCAGAACATGTCTTCAGTGCATCAAGGATATCTGGAGATCTAACCATTGGATTGTCTTCAAACCAATTGCATTTGAAAGCTAGTTGTCTCTTCTATATTTTGGGGATGATCTGACGGTGGTAAGGTCTTCATCGGATGTGAAACTTCTGAGGATCCGAATTTATCCAAAATGGTCTTTTGCTTCAAAATGCACACTTTTTGCCTTAATTACCTGAAAAGAGTCTTGGAACTACAAATACTAGAAAACATACTTAAAAAACTTAAAAGAAATAAAAAGCATTTGAAAAGCATTTAAAAACGATCCATAAAAGTTGTCAAAATACGGTGTTATCATCATCCTCGTCCTCCTCGTCTGTCAGAACTGGTGAGTCTCTAGCAGCTTTGTTGCTTAGTTGATATGGTTTAGAATATGTATATCGCCTTACAGGAATTTGATAAGGTTGATTTCTGTACAATTAGCTAGGTTTCAAGTGGTGTTTTGAGTTGTATATCTCAGGGGGTCAAAGATCTTTTCCATGTTTCAGAGCATGTTTTGGTGGTGTTGATTACTGTATTTTTAACATGCAGATTCCTAATGGTGCATCTGGGCATTAATTGGATCTGATTTTAACATGCAGATTCCTAGTGGTGCATCTGGTGTTGATTACTGTATTTTTAACATGCAGATTCCTAGTGGTGCATATCAGATTGTCTTTGGCAGGTCAGATTGGTAAGGATCCACATGAGAGTGCATGAACAAATTAAGCATGCATCCAAATCTCTCTTGAATCCAAAGATTTGCAACTCAGTGGATCTCCTCCTCTCTCTGGATCTCATACCTTGAGGTTCGTCTCTCTGTTAAAATTTGACATATGATTCAGATCTTATCGAGATCAAACCTCTTTCACTTTTTCTTTTGTGGAAATCTTCATTTCTCGGTGGTTTGATTGCTGCTCTTGGAGTAAAAGCACAGAGATGGCATTTGTTTGTTTTGAATTTTAGTTGATCTGAAGCTATATTATTGTTCGAAGTGATTCATGTTAATTGTTTGGTCGTAGTTGCAGTAAAGTGATGTTTATTGCTGGATCTGAGGATTTAAAGTTTGTCTATGCTTTGCATCTTTCTGGTTATTGCAATTAATCCTTGTATGCCTGGTACAATGGCTGGTGGTTGCCAATTTTGGCACCAGAATCTAGGAATCAAGGTACTGAACCTCAGTATGTTTATAAAGAAAAACCTCTTGATTTGAAAGTCTGATTTGGGGTCCTATTCTCTATATTCACTTTCTATCTATCTTATGTTACAGTAGTACTTTTTCTTGCAAGGTTTTCCTTTTCAATTGAACTAATAAGTATTCTTCATTTTGATTTCTCTCACTTTTTTTGTGCAGCGCCTGAAAAGATGGACAAATCCAGCAGGTGCCAACGATATTAAAGAAGCTCTCGAAGGAAATGATGTTGAAGCAAACTAAAGGTGATGCTATGAAGAAGGCGGGTATGCTTCAGCATCCGAATGAGTACATTTGGGGAGTGACACTGAGGTTTCTCTGCCGATTGAAGGAGACTGAAATAGTCCTCTACCTTTTATCGTTTTGGTAATATTTGTCATTATGATGTTTTTGTAAGACATGTTTTTGGTTATTAATGAAATAATCTTTTAAGCAGATTTCAAATGTAAGTTTTTATATAAATCAAATTGATTATAAGCTATAAAATTGGGCTCGATATTATTGGCAAATATAACAACAAACAAATGCTACAAAACAATATATTACAGCATTAAACCTGTGTTATCAAAATATACATTAAAGCATTTGAGTAATGCTCTAATAGAACAACATACAATAGCGAATCAAAAACGCTATTATATGAGGGGGTCCTATTATAGCTCCGGCAGAAACAGAATTCATGGAATCGCTATTATATAGATATAATAGCTGTTTTCGTGTGCTAAAAATGTCCATTTTTGTTGTAGTGCCAAAAGCCATAACCCAGTCCAAACACTAATGGATTCACTAGTACCAACCGTCACCCTCAAACCTTCAACCAAAAGATCTCTTCCATGGATCACACTTCTCCACCCAAAATATGGACGGGATCCAACATTAGAATGCAGAAAACCACCTTGATCGAAATAGCGGCTTTTAAGAAAGTGAGAGAACATACATTCAGAGAATTGAATGAGGCGCTAAGTTTTTCTCGACTAATCTAGTACGTTTTACGAACATTTTCCTCGGCAGCCACCAGAACTAAGCCATAGCACTTGATAGTTTATCACACGTTGTTTTTGGGAGTTTAAAGCAGCTCATGGCTACCGATTTCAATAAGATCTCTTTCCCATTTTAGGACAAAAGTCTAGCAAACCAACTAGAAAACCGTGATTTCATCTTATCTTGAATGTAGTCAACCATATCAACCTATAATCCACCAAAACATTCAGGCAATCCAAGATAAGTTTCCGTCTCACCTTTATTCCAAATACCTAGTTCAGACTTAGCTAAAACTTTTCTATCCTCATTAACATGGTCACCAAAAGTAATCAATAATTTGGAGAGGTTAATGATCTGATATGTAGCTTCTCCATAGACATAAATGATTTTGTTAATGTTCATGCATTGAATATCATCAACTTTGTATTGAAATAAACTATCATTTGCAAACACAAGATGGTAGATAGATGGACAACTGATCTGTTCTGTGTAGTTTTTTTTATATTTTGATTTTTTCACTTTTTTTCATCATCTTTGATTTTTATTTTTTATTATTAACTTTATACAATATAAAAATTAATTAAGTCTTTAATTTTAATATTAATATTTTCTTTTATTTTTAAATATAAATAATATTATATTAAAATGTATAAATGAATTGAGTTATTAATTTTTTTCGATATTTTGGTAGATTTTATTTAAAAAAATTCTTTTAATTACGAAAGCAACCCAAAATAAAACTTTTTAAAAAGTTTATCCTCACCAACGCAACAGTCTCCCTCTCTCTCTCTCCATTTCCACTTGCTGAGAGAACTCAGAGAAGGAGACGCCATGGAAAGGCTTCTACAACCACCGTCTTTTCGCACAGTTGCTCCCTCCAAATCCCAACCGAGAGCATCTCCGTTGTTCCTCCGTGTCCACCGTCTAGACTCGTCCGGTCTTAGCTTTGCCTCCACACGCCGATCTTTGTCTCGCCGAGTCAGCTCCATTTCTTGCCTCTCCCGCCAGATTCCATCGCCGAATACGTCTCCAGTACTGAATCAGACTAGAAATTTCTCGTCTGAGTCTCCTTCTTCGTGTCCTGAAGCCGATAAGTCCAAATCTAATCCAGGATTTCTCGAACGGTTCGTGAGGAGTTGCGAGCAGCGAAAGGTAATAACTTTAACATCTTCTGGTCTTTTCTGTTAAAATCTTTGCCTGGAACGATTGTGGTTTAATTAGGCGTTTTCGGTGGGTATTAAGGCATGGTTTCGATTTTATATGCTTCAATAGGTTTCAAGGATCAACTAAAACTCCATCTGCTGCTTGAATAGTCAGACATTGTTTTGCTTCGTTAGATTCTGATAATACTCAATTGACAAAAAGATTAAAACTTTTTGCAATCTTATATAGCTGCATTGCTTTAGGAATCATATAAATTTGTAAATCTCTTTCATCAGAGCTCTCGGATTGCATATACATTACTTTGGACTCATTTATATAACTGGTGGATCTTTGTCATAAGTGGTGAATTTTAGTCAAAGTGTTTGATTGTTCACTGCTTTATGCAAATCTGTGTGTTTTCTTTGCAGACCATATCTGTTGGAACAGTCATGATAATCTCTGCTGTAGCTATGCTTTTGCTTAACCCCGTTCTTGCGCCACCTGCTTTCGCTAGCTTTCAAGCCACGGCTAAATCTAGTGGCGCTGCTGCTGTTGGTGGAAAGCTCCTCCGTACTGAGATACTGACAAGTGCCTGGACTGGTTTCTTTGCTGGTTGCTTACACACGTTGTCTGGACCCGATCACCTTGCTGCTTTGGCTCCGCTCTCGATTGGACGGACAAGAATGGAGAGTGCTGCAGTTGGAGCCCTCTGGGGATGTGGCCATGACGCAGGTCAACTTATCTTTGGTCTTTTGTTTCTACTTCTAAAGGATAGGCTTCACATTGAAGTCATAAGAACTTGGGGTACAAGAGTCGTGGGCTTGACCCTCCTTGTGATTGGTGCTATGGGGATCAAAGAAGCTTCTGAGATCCCGGAACCATGTGTGGTTGGTGCCTTGGGTGATGAGGAAACAGATGAAAAGAGCTCAAAGAAGAAGAAGATAGGGTTTGCGACATTTGCGACCGGGATTGTTCATGGGCTGCAACCAGATGCTCTGATGATGGTATTGCCTGCACTTGCTCTTCCTTCTCGGTTAGCAGGTGCTGCGTTTCTGATCATGTTCTTGGTTGGGACGGTGATTGCAATGGGAAGCTACACGGTTTTTATAGGGTCATGTAGTGAGGCGTTGAAGGAGAAGGTTCCTAGGATCACAGAGAAACTAACATGGGCGTCTTCTCTTGTGGCCATTGGACTTGGATTGGCGATTATCATCAGCCAGTTCTTTGGATTCAGCCTGTATTGAGAGACAAATATCGTCCAGTCTTATGTAGCATTAGAAGGGTTAGATTTTTTGCATGGACCAACAAAATTTGTAATTTTGTATCTTGCTTCTGAATTTTTTTTCTATCAAATAGATGTTTGAGTTTGGCTGCACAATTTAATAGTATACTTCTAAGCTTTACGGAAGAACGTAAACCATGAATGTTTTTATACATACACTACAAGAAAAAGTGTTTATTGCAACAGATATTTTTGTGGCAAACAACTAAAATTTGTGGCAATAGAGATATTTACCACATATTGTTACAAAATTAATTTGTGGCTATAGGGTCGTTACAAACATAAATTTGTGGTAATTTGTGGCATATTTACCACAAAATACCATGATAATATTTTCTGGTAAATTAGCCACAAATTTCCAAGAAAACAATCATGGCATATTTGCCACAATTTAATACAAAACAATTGTGGCATGGTGTAACAAGTTATCACAACACCATTTCTTGCAAATTCAACACAATTACCACAAAAAAGTTCGTGGCTAATCTGTGGTTTTTCATAAATTTTTTTTAAAAAAAAAATATTAACAACAATAGTTCATTTATTGTCTCATCATTTTATTATAAAATCCCATCAAAGTGGGTTATACAAAGTTTCGGAGCCCAACTAAGATTTAACAAAATAGAAACGTCTAAAGCCCAACACAATAATAGCCCAATAGGTCTAACACGTGTTGAACCAAGAGCTGAAAAGGAGTCTCCGCAAAACTGCCACCGCATAGCGCCGCCGCGACTCTAGATCTGATATAACTTCTACCAATGTCCGGTGAATCCCATCAAATCTCTTCTCAACATCTTCGAAACTAAGCAATATGCACCAACATTTTCTTCATCATATCTCGCCGGTATAGATAGATAGAGTTTCCTGAATTCGCCATGAGAAAACTAAATTTCAGATCGTTGGCGGCAGCGAGATCTGTGAAAAAACAAAGTGTTAAGAGAAGAGGAGAAAGAAGAAGAAAGAAAAGGAGAAGATAAATCTGAAGAAGAAGAAGGGGAGAGGAGAAGGATGGAGATCGAAGTGGAGGAGAAGAAAGAAAAGCTAAGGTTTTGATTGGTAACTTTGCGGAATGGCAGAATTGTTGAAAAAATTTTGCGGAATAGATTAAACGACTTATAAGTCGCTTTTCTGCGGAATGACTTTTTCTTTGTATTTTTGTTAAGCAAAAACGCAGTCTGCGTTTTTGTGTGTATTTTTTCATTACGCAAATTTTTGTTGATTGGTAAAAAATTTGCGGAATTGTGTTTAAAAACGCAATTTCGTCTTTCCGCAGGTTATCAAGAGCCTAAGTGTTAAGATAAGAAGAAAAGAAGGAGAAGGTTTGTGCCGTTGGATTTAATCTTATCAACGGTGGAAGATAAAATAAAATGTGATCCTTGTCTTTATGAAGTAACCAATGAGAAGCTAGTAATATTATACTTAAGGTTAATAATGAATCCATTATCTAGTTTTACGGATTGCACCACAAGTAACTCCAGTTTAATTAAAGTGATCCAAATCCAATAAACAAAAAATACATCGATTTTCTTTTAAAACACAATCTCAAAATTATAACCATCTAATTTACGTTCAAATTTAAAAAATATTTTTCAAACACTGTAAACTAATAAATTGATTTAGAATTAAGAAAGGTTTAGGGTTAAAGGTTTGTGGTTGGGGTTTAGATTTAGGATTTATAAAATGACTACATCCGAAATTTTTGTAATTATAATTGATGTTTCTGTGTAAGATCTAGTAAACAATGTAAGATATAGACTTTATAATTAAGGTTAGAGGTTTAGAGTTTTGGTTGGGGTTTATATTTTAGGATTAGTATTTTTGTACAAAATGAAACATCTTTATATCACTTATAAAAATAAATACTATACGAATTTTAAAACAAAATTTTTGAATAAGAATATGTAGTAAATTTACCACAAATATAATACAAAATTAGAATAATAATATGAGACAAATTTATCATAAATTACTATGGTTTTGTGTTTTGGCAAATTTGGTAGAAATTTTTTTGATAATATATGTGGCAAATATTGACACAAATTTTGTACCAATTTGTGGTAAATATTGCCACAAAATGCCACCGATTTTGTTAGCGTGGCAAAATTGACACGAATTACCACAAAATGTAAGAAAATTTTTAAAAATCATTATTTGTGATAAATTTGTGATTAAAAACAATTGCCACGAAAAAGTGATGGCAAAATTGTGGCAATAGATATTTTTTCTTGTAGTGATATAAATTGCATTTAGGCACCACTTCTCTTTTATGGTTTATTTGCGTCATGAAATGATTCTGATAAATGAATGGCTAACTCGTTATAGAATTAGTTCTACATTCATCACAATGAAAAAGAAAAAAAAATAAAATAAAACACACTTCCTGTCTTCTAAACCAATGTATACGTAAATCAATTGGAAAACATGAAATCTAAGCTTGTTATTACACAACACTAAAGGTTTTATCTCCTAAACCAATGTACAACATTTTAAATAAACCAATGTAAAACAATTTTAAAACATGACATCTAAGCTCTTTATTTAACAAAACTAGGAGAGAAGTCGTGCTACGCACGCACAGATCTTGTTTTACTTATGTTTTAATTTCTAGTTTAACAATCAATTTTTGTGATTTTTTAAATATTTTTTTTTACCCTAATAATCTTTTCTGTTTATTATTTTCTAACATTTTTCATTGAAATGTCAATTTAGCAATCATTTTGAAATCCTAATCTAGCAATCTCAAGTGTTGTTTGAAAACCCGATGTTGTGTTCTCATGCCCGGTCGAAGTCCAAGGCCAACCCGGTCTGTTGCCAATGAGTTGTGAGGAATCTTCCGAGAATACTCAGGGTATTCGATTCAGTTAAAATTTATTATTCTCACTAAAATCTCAAATTACTTTTGTTTAATTTAAATTTAAATTTAGTTTATATTATTTTGATGATTTAATTTTTTATACATCATAAAAATTAAATTAAATTTTGTTTATGCATTAATAATAGAGATAATTTTTTGGGACATGTGTCACTCTCTCCAATGCTGATGTGTCACTCAACTGGAGAGAGTTGATTGTCTTTTATATATAAGACTAGGTGAATACCCGCACATTACGTGCGGGTTTTTATTTTCAATTTTTTCAATTTTTAATATTTTTATAAAAATTAATATAATCATCACTTGTTATTTCCTTATTTGTTAATATTTATTAAATATTATTTAATAATTTAGAGTTATATTAAAATTAATAAATATCATCAATATTTTTAATTAGTTATAACATAAAATTTTGTTTAACATTTACACAAATATTAACTAATAGTCAATTAATAAAAAATTTAAATTAATAGAATCATCATTTCATTTGTTACTTGTTAGTATTTTATTATAAATAATCTTTAAAAAATAATTTAAAATAGATATTAAATATTATTAAGTAATTTACAGTTATATAAAAATTAAATACATATCTATCAATATTTTTAATTAGTTATAACATAAATTTTTGTTTAACATTAATATAAATATTAGTTAAGAGTCAATTAATAAAATAAACTTTTCATATTCTTTAAATGCTTTAAAATTAATATTAAATTTTTATTAATTAAAATTTAATATTAAATTTTTATTAATTAAAATTTAAGTGACATGTGTTAATTTCTCCAATGCTGATGTATCAAGCATATAGAGAAAGTTGAGCAACTTTTATATATAAGATACTATAAAGGTTCTATATCTTACACCAATGGAAACCAATTGTAAAGCATGATGTAGCATTTTAGAGATGTGGCTTTTGGTAAGAATATATTGTCAATGACCATTACATCTTCCTCCAATCTTGCACAACCACAGCCCATATAGATCCACAGAACCAGTCTCTTTGAGATAGGTGATGTTAAAAACGGCTACTTTTTCAAGTTTCAACCATCATTTATTTGTGTCACTCTTTTCTTAAGTCTAGGTATTACATCACCCGCTTTGCGAGGTACTTTTTTGTTTGTTTAGTAAAGTCTTTTCGAGGTACTTGCATCATATACAACTCTTCAAAGCTGATGCATGCAACGAGGAGCTTCTTCAGATAAGATATCAGATTCTACGCACATGCAGGCATGCAGCCAGCAAGTCGAGGCCTTCCATCTTACGGATGGTCAGATCTTTGTCAGATACACTTCCTCAAATCTTTGTTCATCCACCAAAAACTCTAGAACACACAGGTTCTCTAACGCTTGATCTAGACGTGTTGTTTCTAAATTACAAAATAATAATAAGAATGCTATGGTCCTGCTTGAACGAGCAGGTTAATATAACGGACTAAAGGGTTTTCTTTACTAGTCGGATTAGGAATTCTGGTTTTTGGGATTTATAAATACAAAGTCTAAGGTCTGTAATTATTCAGTCATACTATAATACAGAAACACTAAAAAGGTTATTTTCCTCAGTTTGTTTTCTCTTTTCGATCTTCTTCTAGTTGCAATTTGCACTAATTCTCAACAAGACGACTAGTCCACGTCTGCTTCTCTGCTTTTGCTATGGAGATACTCTGCACACATGCAGCTGGTTCCTCCAGCTCTAATCAGTTTTACCCACGTCTACTTCTCTGCCTTAACTGCTTAAATGATCCCAACTCATCCAAGTTGCGCACAGCTATTCTAATGTCTATCCATCAGTACCTTGTGGTGTTAACAACTAAATATAATGACAGGAAAAAACCATGAAATAGATGGCTTGATTCTAAGAAAGCGAAAAAACAAATGCTATCATATTACAAAAACTATTGAGATATGGAACAAATATTCTTGAACACACAAAATGGGGCCATTATTTCTAGATTTCTTACCACAAGTGGTTACTATTAATAAACATGGGAATATATATATATAACAAAATGATCTTAAAAAGCAAAAATATTTTAAAAAATATAAATAAGATGAACTTAAACATTGATTTCCAATGAATGGCCCCAACCCCCAATTGATGGGTCCAAAGAATATTGTTCCATATCTTAATAGCAATGTTAGGTTATTATATAATCCAAGCCATCTAGGCTAGATCAAGAGTGAGATCAGACAAGGGACATCTGTGCGTTCTATAGGAAACCAGTGTGTTCCAGAGTTTTTGGTGAGTGAACAAAAGATTTAAGGAAGTGTATCCTACAAAGATCTGACAATCCGTGAGATGGGAGGCTTTGACTTGCGGACTTCATCTGGGTAGAATCTAATATCTTATTTTGAAGAAGCTAAAATAAATGACTTTATCGGCCACAATCCAATCACCCATCAGGATAATCTATTCTTGGATTGATATACATACTAACGTGCTTGTGAGATTCGACCTCAGCTCTATAGAGTTGAATATGATGCAAGTACTTCGCAAAGCCCGTAATGTGCTACTTAGACTTAAGAAAAAAGTGACTTTTGATGGTGGAAGATTAGCCGCTTTTGACATCACCTATCTCAAAGATACTGGTTTGGTGGATTTATGATACCATAGGGAACACTGAGTGGTCAAAGAGAGTTAGGAACCAAGAAAATCGATGAGAGTCGGAGTGGATACTAAAAGAAAGAATATAAAAAAGAGAGTCATCAACAACCAAACTAAAACTCAGCCAGGAAAAAGAAAATGGAATATTGCGACTTTGTGAGGTGAAACATGTCTCTTTTTCCTATGCTCACTAACAGGCTAACAGATCAAAATAATGTATTTATTAAAAACAATATGAATTTGTGGGAAATAATGTAATTTTTTTTTCAGATTACTCTTTTGGTAATTTTGTAGTTTATGTTATCATAATCCATCTTGATGTATCATTGCTAAACCTATGCCCACTAACAGATCAAAATCTTTGGTAAATAACTTTTTATTAGACATATACATATATTTTTATCATTATAATTTTAATCGCCGCGGTGGAGGTCCTTCTCTTCCGCCACAATTTTTATCTTCTGGAATACAATGGGTTTTGGAAGGACTGACATCAATTGTATCCGTAGCATTAAACTTTAAGTGACACTGATGAATCTTTAAGTCGCAATACACTTCATCACATAGGCACATTCTTCTGCATTCTTCGTCTGTCGTACACAAGTCGGCCACCACACTATTTTGTCCTTAAAACAAACAAAAAAGGTATAACAAAAATGATTTTAAAAAAAAATAGGAAACATAAACAAACCAAAAATTGATTTGAATGGATAGTTTTTAGTTTTCTTCAGGCTCAATTCATTTGTAAAATGCCTTTTATGAACAAACATTACTTTCAATTATTAGTAAGGAGATATGAATAATTAATTTTATTTGTTTGTTTATAAGGAGACTGTTGGTAAGGTATGCATACTTACGAAAGACGACAACAAGAAGGGAAACCAATAGCAGAAGTTTAAAGGATATGCTTTTCATTCTTCAAATTCTTTTGCTTTCAATAGTTAAGTGGAAGGCTACACTTCATCTCTTTTTATAGTATAGCTTGGATGATGGTTTGACAAGAAAATCTTGAAGATTTTGAAGATTTGTTTGTGTATTTACATGTGGAGATGTTATAGGTGTAAGTATTTCTAGATTTCTCACCACAAATGGTTACTATTTAGAAACATGGGAATATAGGGAAATTTATTTCCTAGAAATTTACTAGTAAATATATAGCAAAGTGATCTAAAAAACAAAAAAAAAACTATTATAAATATAAATAAAATGAACTTAAACATTGATTTCAACTAATGGCCCCAATTTGTGTGTCCAGGAATATTTGTTCCATATCTCAATAGCAGTTTTTTGTAATATGATAGCATTTGTTTTTCGCTTCCTTAGAATCAAGGCATCTATTTCATGTTTTTCGTGTCATTAGTTTTAGTTGTTAATGGCAAGCATGATCACAGTCTGCGGTGATGTTCATGGCCAGATATGGTTTGACTCTCCTTACATAATTGTGTGTCTCTCCAATGAATCTGAGAGTGTCCACCGACTTCCCTTTGTGACATGTTATTTGTAGTTCTATGATCTCCTAACTATCTTTGAGCTTAATGGTCTCCCTTCTGAGGAGAATGCGTACATTTTCAATGGTGACTTTTTGGACAGAGGCTCATTCTCCGCTGAGATCATCCTCACATTGTTTGCCTTCAAGTGCATGTGTCCTGCCAAAACCAACCCGAACTAAATTCAATGTGCCAAAAAAATTCGAACGGTGCTAATAACTATCTGAACTTCAAAATAATTCAAATTTCCTATCCGAAATCTAATATATGTGTTAAAATCTAGCTTGATTAACTTTGATTTTAATATATGGCTGATCTTATGACTTGTTCTCTTTAGATCTTATGACTTGTTCTCTTTAGATCTTATGACAGTTCAGTTGGTCCACACGTTAAACTACAAATTACATAGTCACAGGTTCGAGTCCACGTAAAAGTATAAGTTTTTGATTTTTTTTACAACAAAAAACGATGTAGTATAAGTTTTTGATTTTTTTTACAACAAAAAAACGATGTCACTTTTATTAAAGTGACAACGTCAGCCTCTTTTAACAGTTGACTAACGTTAAAGTTAGTCAAAATAAATTTTGACACATATATTAGAATTTGGATAGGAAATTTGAGTTATTTTAGAGTTTAGATAGTTATTAGCACTGTATTTTAGTTCGGATTTTTTTGGCACATCAAATTTAATTCAGGTTGATTTTTGGCCATTTTCCCTGTGTCCATCATGTAAGTTCTTTTCAAGTGCTCTGAACATTTTCTGTATTGCTTTTTTGATGTTCAAGTTTCAACTTCCAATTTGGGTTTGCTAATTATTGTAATCAATTCTTTTGTTTGATATGCCATATTCCAATTGCTTGATCTAAGATAACCTAAATCATGATTTTTTTTTTTTCTTGAAATCATAACCTAATGTGATGGCAATGCAAGAATCGAAATTTGAGTTTGTTCATTTAGACACGTCTACCCTCACAAGGCCCAACGCCTCTTTATACCACCTAGGTCACTTTGAATTCACAATCCATTTATCACTCTATTAACTAACTACAACAGAGCACATGAGTTTTGTTGTATTCCTTTTAATTCATTTTCTATATCTTAATCACTGGTACACATTACTAACAAAATAATTTAGCATTTATATCATGCATTTGTTATTTAGTTTACTTACCAGTAAGATTGATAATAGTACTTGTACTTCACAATTAGAAGAATTATATTAGTAGTTGATTTTGTGAGGTTTCATGACATCTAGACACTAATTGAGTTACAGAATGTACCATGACATGGTTATAAATTTTGTCGAAAACCATACGATTAAGAAAAAGTTTCATTGAGAACAAATCCAAATCTACATTAAAAGTATTCCCTTATAAAACCAACATAACAAAGAGAGAGAGAGGGTGAGATAGACGACCTCCATAGCTAGAGAGAAACCAAGCTTCTTAGAGAGAGAGAGGGAGAGAGAGAGAGAGAGAGAGAGAGAGAGAGATAGAGAGAGAGAGAGAGAGAGAGAGAGAGAGAGAGAGAGAGAGAGAGAGAGAGAGAAGATGTCTAAGGAAGTCAGTGAAGAAGGACGACATGGCAAAGACTAGGTGGATCCACCTCCAGCACCGCTTCTGGACATGGGAGAACTAAATTTCTGGTCTTTCTACAGAGCGCTCATCGCCAAGTTTATAGCTACCCTTCTCTTATTCTACGTAACCGTAGCTATCATCATTGGCAACAATAACCAGACCGGTCCTTGCAACGGCATCGCTTGGGCCTTTGGTGGCATGATCTTTGTCCTCATTTACTGCACCGCCGGTATCTCGGGTATAACCGTTCCACCAAAACTCTCCTAAAACTCATTAATTAAAATAATTTTTCAAGATCTAAATTTTTTGTTTAATTGTACGTGGTCGCATTAACCCGCCGTGACGTATGGTTTGTTTTTAGCTCGGAAAGTGTCCCTCCTTAGAGCGGTTGCTTACATGGTGGCTCAGTGTCTTGGAGCTATTTTTGGAGTTGGTTAATCGTTAAGGCCTTCATGATGACTCCGTACAAACTTCTCGCCGGCGGAGATAACACCGTCGCTGATGATTATAGCACCGAAAATGTTCTCGGCAAATTCGTCCTGGTCTCTAGACAGTCTTCTCAGCTACTGACCCTAACAGAAGCGCTCGTGACTTTCACGACCTAAAAGGTTTCTATAGTTTCTTATAAAAGTTGGATTCTTTTGAATATGTCGTAGTTTCATAATGGGTTTGTGTACTTTCTAACAAAGTTTAAATACTTGGAATATGTTTCATAAGTTTTCAACATGGTTTTGTGTGATTTCTAATATTTTTGAGATCTTTTGAATATTTTTCTTTCCTATATTGAGGTGCCAACTCTCACCTCTCTGATTCTGCTGCTGATTGCTTGCTGTCAAATATTGCTCGAGCCTTAGCAAAGAGTCAAAGAGGGATGATACTATGATAAATAGACCGATAGAAGTCATCAACACTAATTAAGGGTTATATCTACAGAAAACTAAAGGTTCTATATTCATCATTAGTGTGTTCAGTTAGGTTCCAGGCATATTACACAACGGTAAGGATTCTATATTATCATCTGCATGCCAATTATAACCACAAAAACGCCAAACAATAATAACTTATAGATATTAAATAAATTCAAGAAAATAAGTAATTCAATAGTACAAACTAAACGATATAAGAAGTTGAAAAATACGATTACTTGCTTTTCAAGTTTTCAGGTACTTGATGTTCTCACACGGATCCATAAGCTCCACGTCAAAATATCTGGTTGTGGCATCCTTATTAAACCAGCGATCCGGTATGCCTTTAATCTCAACCTTTTTTCAGATCATTGCTATATATGCAGATCATAGCAAATGAAAATAAAAAGGTGAAATCAACCTAAGCGGTACCAAGATAACTTTGCCTTTTATACTACTTCTTGGCTTCAATCTATTGTCAGTGATTAGATGCATCTGACAAGGCTTCAAAACTAGAGTCTTCATCGACCATTCCTTCTTACTCCAATCTTCCACAACCCATAGATCAATCCTGCCAGTCTCTTTGAGAAAGGTGAAGTCAAAAACAGCTACTTTCCCACCATACTCTATTTGAGTCGACCACCTGTCAAGTCTAGTTAGCACATCTCCGGCCTTGCGTGGTACTTGCAACATATCAAGCTCCTCAGATCTGATGTCGAATCTCACAAGCACACAAGAAGTATGTAAATCAGTCCAAGCCAAATAATATAACACTCCGTTCATATTCAGCTCTAGTCCATCAGGAAGATGACAAGGAAAGTCCTTTGCCACCCTTTTCCACGAACCACCAGCTTCTAGCACAAAGACCCAAAGCTCTGACCTTATCTCTAGCAGCATATTGTCTGATACTTGCGTAATTGAGCAGAGTAGTTTGTATTGATCGTTAACAGGGTCGTAACAGATAAAGTAGAAGATTTTGTAAACATCTTCTTCAGCTATGACATTGGATTCTACTACGGCAGGTAAGATCACAAGTTGTCTGGTGCTAGGGTTATAGACACGTGCCTTTTTGAAAACTGTGAAGCAAAGAAAGCCACGGACCGCGCGCAAGTACCAACCTCTCATCTTACGGATGGTCAGATCATGGTCGAATTCTAAGGAAGACGGACAAGTGCTTGGAGCTGATGATAGGAGCAGAGACTTAGAGTAGTTTTCATGGTCCAGTAAAGACATGTAAAGACCAAAACTTTGAGATGTCGGGAGCGTAATGAAACGGTTGCAAAAATCTCTGGAGGAGAAGAGAGATAACAAAAACTTTGAGATGCACTTGAATCTCATCACGGACTTCGCAGGTAATCTCGCCAGAATCTCGGTCAAGAGATCCTGATTAATCTCTGGTGCGACCCAATTTTCCGAATCCTGAATCGCTTTTACTGTTTGTCTTCTTCTTCTTCTTACCAACCTCCTCTTCGTTTTCAGCCTTCTTCTCTTCTCCTTTCGTGCGGCTATTGCAATAACTAAAGACCGACGAACCATAGCGTCCGCACAACAAAAATCTCCAGTTCACCACTTTGGACGCGCCCACAAACTTAAAAGATCTTAGGGTTTGAATCGCAGCAACTACCGAAGTTGATTTCACAATGGCCACTCCAAAGGCGACAATGATTTTCTTTGCAAAGTAAAACGCAGTGACGTATATGAAGGAGATAAACGCTGTTTTTTTTTGGGTCGCTTGAGCTTGTTGGTCGCCGAGATTCACAGTGGGAGAGAGAAGTCGCGATTTAGGGTTTGAAGAGTGTCATAATGAAAAAAAGAAAAAAGAAACTCTTTAATCGTTTAGGAAAAGGAAACTTTCTTCTTCCTTTTTTTGGAAGTGAATGTCAAATTATTCAAACCAAAAAATTGTTTTTACAAATATATGTCTGTTTTTTGTAAATTCTAGAGAGAAATTTTAGAGAGTTGAAAGTATAATCAGAGCAACTTAGATCAAGCTGTAGTGCCTAGCCAAAGTAAAAAGTATTTCTTCATGAGTAGTGTCCCCCATGATGCTGAGGGACTGGGTGATGTCTATAGGGGGCAACAATGACCGCTTATAACATGTTTCTTTATACCTTTGTTTTAATGATGCATGTGATTAGTTCATTCTTAAACTGAAGCTTTAGAATTGTTAATAGGTTTTGTTGATATGGAATGATTGAATGATTGATAGTGCTTGATGACACTACAAGAAAACAGAGATTTAGCAACCTCATATACAGTTGCTAATTAGTCGCTAACACTAAATTTACGACCGAGTTCCGACTAATAGCATCAGTCGCTAATATTGAGTCGCTAAATCAATTAGTCGCCTATCAGTCGCCAAATACCGACTGAATAACGACTAAATGTTGACGAAGTTAATCAGTCGCAAAGTAGTCATTACCTTAGCGACTGATTGACGACTGTTGTTGCGACGTATTTGCGACTGAATGGCGACCATATGGTTCGATAATTGAATGATATTTGGTGCAATTTAACGACTGTTTTGCGACGTATTTATGACTGTATTCCGACTGATTTACGACTGCATTGCGACGGCTTCAATAAATGAAAGCAAAATCTAGTTTTACGATTAGATTCTTCCAAATCTGATAATTTGAATCCATTCTACATTTTAAATAACAATTTAACAGCAAAAAAATATTCAAATGTAAAATGCAAAAAGTCATTATATTACATAATACCATTGTTTTAAAAAAAGACATAAAACCATTGTTCCAAAAGGTACTAAACAAAGATCAAATGGTTACATACTTAACCATTGAGATAAGTTCAAAAGAGTGAGCCGAGATACTTAAAAAAGAGACATAGAAAAACCTTAAGAGTGAGTTTGATCACTTGGAAGAGTTTGATTTGCAGCCAAAAAATCCATGAACTTTGGATCAGTTTCAGTCAAATACTTCTCCACCATAGATAACTTGTCCAGCTTGGCTTGTTGCTCTGCTTCACGCTTGGAGTTCTCAGCCGCTTGTTCTTCTATTTTGCGATGAGCTTCTTGTAGCTGCTCTTCCAATCCCTTGTATGTTGAAGAGCTTCCTGGGCTTTTCCTCTTTCCATTGACATGTGTCTCTGAAAGAATTCCAATTCCATAAGGAATACCTCGCTCATTTATGAAAGTCGACTGCAAAAACAAAATAAGGATCAAAGCATCAATGCATATATATTAACATCAAAGCATCAAACAAAATAACAACTTGAAAGCTATAGAAGCAAAGCATAATATAAAAGAACACATCAAAAATAAAAAACGAAGACTTTACCTGAAGAAAAATCTCATTCTCCTCTTCTATGGTTAGCCCCAACGATGGTGAAGTACCATCTGAAGTCTCTGAGTCTATCCCGCGAGTTGCCAACTTGGATTCCAGGTTCTTCCTATAAGCCTTAGCCACAGTCTTGGACTTTCGGTCTACAAATGTTCCATCTCGTTTTGTATGAACCTTGATGAAAACTTCACCAAGGCTCACCGGTCTTCCCAACTCTTCTTCCTGAAATGATAACAATATAAAGAAAGAGTTAGTTCCCATCTAACTAAAGATGATATATAACTTATGAGAAAGTTAAAAATTGATATACTTACCATTTCTTGTTGGATTTGGAGGCATGACTTCTGCCCTGAGAAGTGAACATGAGGACCAAGTCCATTACGCTCAGACATCCGAGCAGCTGATGTGGTGGAACTCTTCTCTTTGGCTTCTTCAGTGTCCCAATACTCTGTCATTTGTTTCCAAGTGGTATCTCCAATCCAGTTTGGTTGTTCTCGAGAAGCCCTAACCTTGCTGACCATGTCTTTCATCCGGAGGAGACATACTCTCTCAAACCTTTCTTGAACCACACCGGTTAATAAAGGATCCCAAGTGTGGGTTTTCTACCAAAAAAATAGAGAAGATGATGTTAGTGAGCAATAAAAAACAAATGGCTCATATGTATCAACACAAAAAAGGAGAATATGGATAGAGAACCTTACCGCGAATTCAATAAAGAATCTTTCCTGTCTCTCCCGAGGCACACATGTCCAGCTATAAAATGGGCCATCGAACTTGTTACAGAAAATTTTTGTTATCTTCCGAGTCAGGGAAGACTTGTCACGCCCAAATCTGCAAGAACACAATAAAGTAAAGAAACAGTTACAATCCTAAACCCAATACTAAGATAAGAAAATAAACAGTCCATAAACAAATCTAACAAATCTAAGCCAAGTACCATAACAACTCTAAACCCTAAATCATAACAATTCTAAGCCAAGTACCCTAACAACTCTAAACAATCATACAAATTCTAGCCAAAAAACCCTAAACTATGCAATTAGATTACTTGAAATCATACCATGTTGTGTTCGGCCTCTTTATGGGAGAGAGGACTGTGGTGTATGCTTCCCTGCCAGGCTGAGTGAGCAAGGCATTGAGAATTCGTTGCTGGTCTTCCGCGAGATTCACCGGGCATAGAGCTTCTTCTTCTTCTTCCGGAAATACACTTTGAGCGTCAGAAGCTTGCTCGTGTTGTTGTTGAGAGACAGATTGCTGTTGACCGCGTGGAGATGGTTGATGTTGACCGCGTGGAGATGGTTGCTCGTGAGATCGAGACTCTGGTCCTCGATGTGGATTCTGCGAGTTCGGGAACAACTGCGCCGGTGGTGGATAATCCCTCACGGATACTGATGGTTGCTGCGTGGGGACAACCGGCGGCGATGGCGAGGGCGTGAAGTCGTAACGACCTGGCAGAGGCGACGGCGATCTGGCTTGCGACGGTGCCACACCTCCTCTGCCTCGTCCTCTCTTCCTTCCACCACGACCACCCATCCTCTAATCGTTGAAGAACAAGTTGCTAATTGGGGATTTGGGGATTTTTGGTGAGATTTCTGGGTTGGGAGAGAAAGGGGATTAGGGTTTCGTCGAAGGGATTTGGGGAATTTTTGTTAAGTGGTTAGGGTTCTCGAATTTTTGGTGAGATTTCTCGAGTGTTTAAATGGATTTGTGCTTTGTTTACATTTTTTTTTATTTTGGGCCGAAATGTAGTCGCAAAGTAGTCGCCAATTCCCGACTACCGTAAATTAGTCGTTAAATTAGTCGTTAAATACTGACCCAGTTACGACTGTTTTAATTAGTCGCTAATTAGCGACTAATTGCCGACTGAATTTTATGAGACGTAAATTGGAGGCAAATCAGTCGCCAATTAGTCGTAACAGTTAGACCCTGCCAAATCAGTCGCTAAATGTCGTCGCCAATTAACTGTTTTCTTGTAGTGTGAGTTAGGTTGTTAGAAGAATGAGTGAATGTTTGGTTGATGATTTGGTGATTTAATCTTAGATTTGTAAAAAAATTTAGTCATGCTTGCGAGTCTTCAACCTAGATGAATGATTCTTTGTTAGAGGTAAACCGGTATTGCTTGTATTAGTATCAAGTTAGGTACCCGTTACAGGTAATCCATGAGGTGCAAGATTTCTTGCTGAGGGACTGGTGATGTCTATAGGGGCCAACAATGACCGCATGGGAGGGTATTGGCGAATCCTGTAGATATCTGTGTGATAAAAAAAAATGGTGGCAGGTCGACTTGCGGGCCTTAACTGTAGTTGGGTCGGATGTCACGGGTGGCAGACCGTTTTGTCTGTCCTTCGGGAAGATTTGGATTTGGGTGTCATTCTCTGTAGAACATTTTGCTCTTGATTGAGAACTGAGTTGATGATTGACTTTGGAAATAATTAATTGAGCAAAAGAAATTAAAAGTGAATGTTTGTTTAGTTTGAAATAATTAGTGGTTTAATATTCATATTCTTTGCTTGAGATCCTTTCCATCCTGGGCGTGTCAGACTTGTGGCATCCACTGGCGTGGTCTCTAGGCTAGATCCCATCGGTGTTGTTTTTCAAGGCGGTGGCTCTCGCTGATGGGTCTGTGCATTATTCTCTTGGTGGCGGTGAGTGAGTGTGTGCTCGTCTTTCATTAGGTATTTGTCTCTGGTGGCCCCTTGTTTCATCGCTGATGGATTGTGTGCTTGTTTAATTTCGGTTTGGAGTAAGTGTTTTGCTTGTGTGGCTTTCTTGAGGTTACATCTAGTTTTGTTCTTTGTCATGTTTATTTTGCTTTCGGAGTAGGTAGTAAGGTTATCTAAGCTTGTTGTTGCTTGGCTATGTGCGCCCCGATATGGGGAGGAGGATCTTGGTAGAGTTAGTAGCGTTTCTAAGCTTTGGTAGTTAGTGTAATCTCTTCTTTGTGATGGATCTAAGTTTGTTAGTTAAATGTCAAATCTCAGACGTTGAGGACTGTCTTTGTTCGGGTCTCCTCTAACTCCTTAGAGGAATAGTTCTTTTTTCAGGCTGCCAGATGAAACAGCTTCTAGTCTGCATAATGGATGTTTTTTCACTCCTTCTTCTCTTCCTTTTTTCAATCATACTTTGGTCTCGTTTTTCCTCCGAGTTGAAAGCTCTTTATCACTACTGTTTGATATCAATTGCTTCAAAGTTACGGTGTCAACTAAGTATCGTTTGCATTTGCTTACATGTTTT